TCTTCTTTTCCTTCTTCTTCTCCTTTTTCTTCTTCTCCTCCTCCTCCTCCTTCTTCTTCTTCTTCTTCTTCTTTGTTTCTCTCTCCTGGAATGCCTCGCGGTGTCAGGGCAAGAAGAGATATTTGAAACGGGCTTTATATAAAGTACATTTCAGTTCCTTCAGTATTTCTACGGTCCATATTCTGCGTCGCCGACTTATGGATCTTTACCGCTGTATCTGTATAACATTGCTCTTTTGGTGTCCTGTCTGATGCCAGTCCTGTTACATGGCCAAACCATTTGATTTGTTGTCTACATATAGTTACCTATAAAAAATATTGTGTGTGTGTGTGTTTTAAAAAAAAAATTTTTTTTTTTTAAATGTACTTTCAGTGTTTGTATTGTATTTCACATTTCAGGCACTTTACATCAATGAATTTAAAGATCGGTATTTCTGCATTAACAATGGAACTACGTGGTGAGTCACAAGCTCATTGTTTTAGCAGTTTAACTAGTTTAATGTTTTTCAACGCGTAAGTTTCATTAATGTTATTACTTCCTTCGAAATCAGAGCGCATCTGCCTGAGAGGCACGTAAGAACCAGCTGCACACCAATAAGTTAGTAAAACTGATTTAAAATCAAAACTGGTACAAAGTCAAATTCCAAACGGACGACCAACCAGGACTTTATGTCGGAGCTTACAACCGGTGAACAAAGAAGAAGAGGAAGAAGATCAGCGGGACTTATCAAATGTTTTAAGGGCGTATATTTTAAAGGTATAAATTCTCAAATGTTTTAACAGTGTAACTTTTCAAATGTTTTAAAGGGGATGTTTTCAAAGATGTAATTTTTAAAATGTTTTGAGGGGTTATGCAAGATGGCGATCCATTATCCGGAATATCTGGAGGAGAAGTCAACAGAACCATCAAACAGGCGTAGAATTGGATGCAAGTATTATCTACACGATTGTCTGCCTTAAATGATTTTATCATCCGTTGTCACTGCATGTGTACCCACGTTAACATCAGCTTAGAAAAGATGTGTGCAGGTGGGACATGAATGATACAAGTATTATCTACACGAGTGTCTACCCTAAATGGTTTTATCACCCGTTGTTACTGCATGTGTACCAACGTTAACATCAACTTAGAAAAGATGTGTGCAGGTGGGACATGAATGATACAAGTATTATCTACACAATTGTCTGCCTTAAATGGTTTTATCACCCGTTGTTACTGCATGTGTACCCATGTTAACATCAACTTAGAAAATATGTGTGCAGGTGGAACATGAATTATACATGTGTTGAGGTAGATTCATGGGCATAAAATGACATTGACAGTGTTGCAGGGAGGGGGAAATCAGAAAGGGAGTGAACAAAAAGGAAACAATAATTGCAGAAAGAATTAGAGATGATACTCTTATATGAAGCATAATAAATTCATCTGAAATCAACAACGCTCCTGAAATACAGTGCACTTATTGAGAAAGACTTTTCTTAACGCGAACGGCTCTTGCAAGTCACACTCGCCATCGCTGTGAGCTGTTAATCCCATGCGTGCCTATAGCACAATATAACACTATTGTCCGGACAGACGGAAAGGTGCCAATGAAACCAAAATGGACTGAGGAGACAAGAAGCTGAAGATAAACATTGATGAGAGAGGCCAGAGTTGCATCCGTCATTTTGAAACAATTGCACAGGAGAGAATGGCTTGAATGAAGAAACTGTCAGCCCTATGTGACATATAGCGGCACAAGAGAATAGCGATGATGGTGATGACACGGATATTGATGATGATGATGACGACGATGCTGATGATGCCAGGAGAGTAGATCCACTGCTTCTTACAGTGCAAACAGAAAGACAGACAGACAACATATGGTTTTATGAATTGAAATTTAACTTGAAAAAAAAAGCAGAGAATAACAAAATAACAACTATGTTTATCTTTGTTTTCTTTAATATGCAGCAAATCTGGCAACACGTACCTGAATGAACAACAAATCAGCCACCAGTACACCTGGGATCTCTGGTGCAACCATATGGCTCTACTGATTCATGCAGCATTTCTGATGTTACTGACCTACGTCCAGTTGAGACGGATGAAGAAGACAACGTAGACCAGGGTCATTCAACCAGCGGCTGAAATTTCGTCAGTGGAGGCCTAGTGGTGGCCAGCGGATCATTGCCAGTTTTTTGTATTTTATATATATATATATATATATATATATATATATATATATATATATATATATATATATATATATATATATATATATATATATATATATATATATATCCTTCTCAAAGCCCATGCCGTGTGGCGTTGGTAGTCATGTCTATCTACAACCTTCTGTCCCGCGTACTTTCAATCAACTCGATACAGATGATCCTCCATGCCATGATGTCAGACTGTCTAGTAACTTTTCTCTCGGTCTTCCTCAGCCTCTCCTCATCTCCAACTTTCCTACCGTCACGTATACTGCAGTTTTCTCCTTCTCATCAAATGACCAAAGAATGTAGATTGTCTCTTTCTGATGTGTGCAAACAATTCTCTTCGTGAGTCACTTTTCTTTCAAGACATCCTCGTTACTATTTTTATCTGTCTAGGGTATTCTCATCATTCGTCTATAGAACCACATATCCGCAGCTTCCAAATACATTTACCAAATAAAGGTTATATGGGTGGGGCTCGTGGCGACCTTCATTTTCAAACGGGTGGCCCCTGAGTAAACTTAGTTAAATAGCTGTGACATAGACCAGCAGTGTTAAATTTACCAAGTGTCCGGATTTCTTCGCTATGTATTTTAAAATCTTTATTTAATTTGTATGGTGGAGTAGGACAGAGGACCAGCGAGGAGATAAAGCCTTTTGAGTCTGAGGGTTAAGGATCGAATTGCTTGTGCAGTCACCACAAACTGTGCAGGTTAGGACATTTAGTGTTGCATGGATCATGCCGACATTGTTAACGCCGTTAGAGAGGTAGGACGTTCGGGCGATTTTGGAAGCAGCACATCCACATCTTTGCTAAGAGTGCGATAGTTGGGATCAAAGATCGGCACAGCCAGGCACGAGAAGCACACCGGACGCACGAGAAGTCTTGTTAACCAACATAGGACTGGGACCATAAACCGCAGGACGCTGATCTATATGTTAAAGGGGGCATCTGAGCACCTATGGACATGTCCGGAGTGACGCGAAGATAACTGATAACTCATAACGGTGGCCTACAGATAGGGTGATAGAGGGTACGGTTTCAGGAAACGGGGCAGAGGCCAACCATCGCCAAGGTGTGTGTGAAAGCACATAGGGCTGGGGAATTGTCTAGAGAGAGACTTTCAGAGCGACGTTGTGTACAGGACCTGCTGACGGATGAACATCGGTCCAGTGAATGCTTCTTTCCTTTTGTAATCATGTATTTGTAACATCAGTCCAGACAATGCTTATTTCCTTTTGTAATCATGTATTTGTAACATCAGTCCAGACAATGCTTATTTCCTTTTGTAATCATGTATTTGTAACATCAGTCCAGACAATGCTTCTTCCCTTTTGTAATCATGTATTTGTAACATCAGTCCAGACAATGCTTCTACCCTTTTGTAATCATGTATTTGTAACATCAGTCCAGACAATGCTTATTTCCTTTTGTAATCATGTATTTGTCAGCTGGTCTGCTTCAAGTGTAGTTATATTATTAAAAGTCAAGGACCTTTACCACGCCTGTAAGCGAATTTGGCATAAAGGGCTAGATTTGTATTGTAAAGACCAACCAGCACTTGTTGGGTCATATGTTTAGCATCAAGCCGGTCGTCTTTACTTCCCCGGACTGCAGCTGGCCGAACCCACGACCTTCCAATTGGCAGTCAAGCTTCTAGCCGCTAGACCACGATGACTCCGAGTTATATTATTGCTTTCATTCAATTACTCGTATAACTATAAACTATCTAGGCACACAGCTTTTGTATATTTCAGAGCATTAAGTACTATGTGCCTTGCTTTATATTATTGGGTTATTTATTTTTATTATTTAGTTTCATTTGTTTATAATATTAACATGTACTAATGTAGTTAATTCAGCATCATTTACTTCTCTGTGCTACTTTTATTTGTTTTGTGTTGATGAAAGCTCGTTACAGTGACATCCTGTATTTACTGTCATTTTTGTAACGATGGAAGATGGATTTCTCTCTTTCTCTCTCGCACACTTACACACACACACACAATAAAATGCGAAAACTGATTCTTTCACCTTCCGATGACCTCATTCTGGTGACAGACGTAGATGTAAGGATTTTCTTGTTCTTTTTATAATGCATTACATAAGATGATCTTTAATTCTGTGAGGCTGTTCTTGAGGCTGTCGTTATATATTTTAATTTTTTTTACAGGATCTTTTATTTGCTCTATTCATTATAATTCATCAGCAAGGCTGTCTCTGGCACTCAGTATCATTGCATCCTTGTCAGATGGCCGAACCATTTCATCTGTTGCTATTTAATTAACTGTATGACTGGTTTTCAGTCCTATTCTTCTTTTAATTCTCCAACTTCGGGCAACAAACCTTGGTGACATTATTATCCATGCAGTCCTAAATCCTCAGACTCAAAGATTCCCTCTGCCTACATCACAAAAGCAGTAAATATACACAGTAATGGCAGCTGTCTAAATAGATCAGATTTACTTCACAGATGAAACAGTCACCTAAATAGATCAGATTTACTTCACAGATGAAACAGTCACCTAAAAAGATCAGATTTACTTCACAGATGAAACAGTCACCTAAATAGATCAGATTTACTTCACAGATGACACAGTCACCTACTTTCACAAAGAACAATTAACTCAAGATATAATTTTGAATTGATAGACACTTATTTTTATAATTTATCAAATGATTTCAGCATACAGAATTCATGCTTTTATAAAGCGGCATCTGTAAAAAAAGGCAGATATCATATAATATTACAACTAGATCAGATCGACCCTTTCAGCCCCCCAACAACACAAGATTTCCTATCTGCTCTTTCTTTTGTAAAGTTAGGAAAAGAACTCTTCTAACACTAGAGGCTCATTGTACTAGAGTCACATTTTATATACCAATCAACATTTGATGTTTTCCACATCAAAACAACTGCCTTTACTTCCCAAAAAATGTCCTGGTACACATTTTAAACTGAGTCAACCTGGCAGCCACATTCAGTTTTAAACTATCCACTCTGTAACGAGTGTCACAGTCTACATTAAAACTCAGTGAAATTATTCTGTAATGTAATACAAGTTGAACAATAAAAGACTTGTGGCATAGGGTTTGGTTTTTCACCATTTTCTATATGAATGTCATAGGAAGAAACAGCACTATTCACTAAAGTCATTCAATAGCTCAAACATTTTCTTTATTAAAAAAAATACTCAAAAGTGTGAGTAAAATTTTTTTTCAACATAATTAACACGCACTCTAACAGTTCAGTTCAAAAACTAATCTGACAAAATTTTTCAAAATTATAAAAATAATTTAGTTATGTATGGGTACATTCAGTCCTTTGCAAAATTTAAAAAAATGTCAAATGTCCACATAGTGCATTATGAGGTCACTCATAATTTTACCCAGGATCACCAAGGTATCCACAACATGGAGGTAACGGCCATTAAATCTAGCCACCCCAGCGATAGAGTCCATAACTCTCTTGAAAATCTCTATATTTTTACCTTCGACATGTTAACACCTAGGAGACTGAACAGCCAATGCAGTTTCATCTAACATCCTTGAGTTACAGCCCCTGGTATTCCCCAGCTATTCATTCTTAGGTCCAACGTGCTTCTTCCTTCCACTGGCAAGACATCAACGTGGCTGCTTCAAGATACTCAGTTAAGTGATTTTTGTGTATTCGAGTGGTTTTGCATGATTTATATATGAGTTGATGGAGGCTCCATAGCAGAAAAGTTCACCTTTCAATTGTGTTTGTTATACTGTGAAGCTCACTGATCTACTTTTTGTTTGGTTTTCTTTCTTACCAGCCTTTAGTAACCTGCTGTCTAGTATAGAGAATGATGTTACTGCACTAAAGCTTGCATGACATTTGCGCAGAGTGGCAAGCTTCATTGGAAAAGTCACGGGTAGTGAGCATACTTTGGATCTTTTCTCCAGTCTATGCCGGCGTGGTGGGTGATGAACAGGTAGACAGACTACCTGGATCTGCACCACTGGGTGGTGAACTGATACATGACAAGGCAGATCTGGTGAAGGCCCTTTGGGAACAAGTAACGGAATCAGTAGAGATACAAGATTATTAGGCCTGGAGAGAATGAGGCACCTGGGTGTAACCGTGGGTCTAGCCAGCTCACTACACTCAGAGGAAAGGCAAGACAGACATATAACCAGACAATGTCCAGTACCATCAGTATTGGAACTCTGCCCTGGCTGCTGAAGATGAGGATGGAGCATCCATTGGAAATCCTTGAGTGCTGTGATGTCAATTCTTGACTCAACTCAACTGAACTCAACTTGTCCCCTTCCAGCTGCTACCTCAAGGTCTGACATCCTAAGATTATTTGATCTCAGTCTGGATGGCATGCAGAAAATCCTAGCTACCCTGTTCAACCTCTAAAGATGTGTTCGGCACCCACAACAGTCACATCAGATTGGTGAAGGTTGCAGACCATTCAGGTAACTGAGTCAGTGAGCATGTTGAACCGCTCTATGACACCACAACCAGAGATTACCACCTGGTGACACAAAGTGCCACCATTTGGAAAGAATTCCCCTGGCACAAGTCACAGAAACCCTATTCAATCATAAGGTAATAGAAAGGTCCCTGACAACAGTTACAAAGTAACCAGAAGGCAGCTAGGGTGGCGCTTTAATATTTAAACAAAATATGTGTCCTACCTTGGGACAGCACATTTTTAGGCGTTCACAGAAGACAATACTGTAAACCTACTTTCAACCATATAAATGTTATATTATGGCATCCTATAAATACAATTCCTGGTAAAATTAGCACACAGCCTGAAAATATTTCTAACACATCCGGATAAAATCAACATTCAGTATAATAAATTTATAATAAATCAGGAGTTGAGCCACCTAAATAACTTTTCAGATCATCAACAGTAGACTTGAATATTTTGCAAGGAATTGTCTCCCTTTTTAGTCGTTTGTATGCTTCATATCTGTGACAACCACCAAATGAGTAATAATAGTCTCCCCCTTCTCGACCTTTGACCCACAAGATGTCGATTGGTGGAACCTTATCCACTGTTTCAGGATTCTGAAAAAATATGAGATAAATAAACAGATTAAAGTCGGAATTTTAGTTTCAATGTGCCTATTTAAAAAATTGCTTATTTAGGATGATAAATAAGGTTGGAGGTAAATAAATGAAAACTACATGTTTAGTGAGTCAAGTGAGATTGTATAAGAGTACATAAACCCACCAAAATGACCTTGGATCCCAGGTCGACCCAGCCTAACGCTGGTACCATGTACGGTTTTGGATTGTAGTCTCTGCATCAACCGATTTAATTCATCACAAGTATATCCCAATTATAATTCATTTCAGGTGGATTTAGGATTGAACGGGTACCAGTTCTGCCCACCAAGACCTAGACACAATAAAATGTACTATTTATTTACCTTAACCTTTAAACTTTTGGGGAATGCAGATAGCATCTCTCATCGTGGGTCGTACCAAAGATCACACTGGTAATTAGCATAGAGGGGAACAGGATACCTTACAGTTCAAAAGCAAAGGGGTTTTGCGCTGGCTTCACGAACATATGTGTGTGTAGCTTGTCCATCCCAAGAGATAAAAACCATCTTACATCCAAAGTTAAAAATGATCAATGATTGTGAGTGAAGAGTATGATAACTTGATGAAAATGAGGAAGAGCTGCGAAAAGCGTCGACCTTACTCTCCTGTCTGTGTCCGTCTTGATCCAGTGTCGAGATGACTGGAAATAGTGTAGATGACCAAAACACCTAAAGTGTCCTGCCTTGTTCAACACACTCCAGAGAACCTGCTGGTAATTGCCTTTTTTTTTTTTTTTCGCCGAACCATAAGTGGTTTTATCAGCACGATTCCCCAGATCAAGTCTTTACATACAGGGTGGGCATCATGCCCTAACTCATCGACTGGCATTAGCCAGGTTGGCCACCGTCTTCTGGTTCGGACAGCTGTTGTCTGATTGTGGGGGGCACAGTTATTATGCTGACAGCTACTAGGAGCCACATGAGAGTGCTGGGGTGGCAGACCTAGCCCAGTGGTAGTGAAGTACATGGCTAGTACACTTATCTTCTGGTCCAGTGGTCCAAGGTTTAAACCCTCAAAATAATGGTAATTTTGTTAAATCAATATGCAGTTGCCAGCTGCAGAAATAGTAATCTATAAAAATGTGAGAAGGCAGCGAGCTAGATATGTTTCACATTAATTGAGTGTCTGTTCGTATAAAGATGAAAAACACCTCATCTCAGTGGAGATTTAGTTGTTTAGAACAGTGTATCCCAAACTTTTCTTAGTTGCAGCGCCTTTTTTCATTAAATATTGTTCCGCGGCGCCATGACCCAAGTAAAAGTTTGACTTTTCGTTAGTAAGAGATTCTAAAAAAAAAAGAAACTTGTGTATTTTTGAATATTTTGTGGCACCCCTGTGAAAAGGTTGTGGCTCCCTGAGTCGCACAGTCTGGAAATCATTGGTTTAGAAGATGGCAAAGAATATCACGGAATGATTGGCAGTCAGCCAGTCAGTCCTCCTTGAGACACATGAAGACCTTTAAATTAATTACAGAAATTGAACCAGATGGCAAACTTTTGAAAATAAACAAACTAAGAGAAGGAATGGACTCAAAACCAACCTGCTATGCTTATCAGCAGGGCATATGATGATTATGACGGAGACTGATTTTTTGTTAAAAGCAAGAATTTGGCACCATATTTCAAATATGCAACATACAATGGAAACAAGTTCTGTGTTTGATTCTTTCCGTTACAAGGAACACGTTAATTTATAACTCCTTTAACTGTTCTATGGTACTGAAAGGGTTAACTTCACTAACAACACAATGACTATACCTGGATAGTTTCCATCAAAGAGGAAACTTTGACCTCATCAAGAACTGAAGGAATCGGTCGGATAAGCACTTTCATCGGGACATTGTGTACTTCTGTGATATGTGCAGCATGGACTGACATGTGTTCTGGCAACTGTGAGCAAAAAACATCTCCTTCCACAGAATTTAACGCTTGATGTTCAGCAACTGTCGACGTCATCCTGGATGTGATGGTATTCCTTTCTTCACAATCGTTAAGATTGTGATCAGGCTGTGATTGTTTGAACTGGCAAAGGGAACGATGAGTGCTCAAAGGTTGTGTCTCTAGAACTGGTGATTCCGTGCCAGAAACTGAACAGTAATGTGATCGTACCTGACTATTATTACTATGATATTCTGAGTCACAGACTTCTATTTCTTGGTGGTACTTGAACTTGCTGTCTGCATCTGTCTTAGTGAGAGTGAGACTCGAAGAAAACAACAACACACAAACGTATACGACAAGCAATACTGCTCGAAAGCTGATATTATTATTATTAAACCTGCTGATTTTATGATACAATTTCTGATGTAATGCTTCAGTGTGACTTGCCCAGACTACTCGTATCATTGCTTGATATGCGATAGAAAAGTGCTGAATCACCGATGTTTATAATTATTGAAACTTGTCGGCGACAACCGGATTTGTTTACAACGACGAGCAATAATTTGATTCTTGGACAAACGAGCTCACCCAGTGTTGCCACTTTTCTTTGGCGAAAAACATTCAAAACGGAGTTTAAACAAATCTAAAAACATCTACATTTGTGTAGAAAACATCTAGAAAAAAACATCCAAATGGAAAGAGTCGCAAATTACATAGCAATTGATATGACCACGTCCGGCTGTAAATTCTGGAGCTGGTCGTGATATGACTAACCCTATAGAATCATGTCCTCATCTTTACTCTAGTCTGCCTCACAAGATCCACAGGATAAACTTTGCTTGGATGATGAAGTTGAAGCTTCAGATCCAAAATGACTGGTATGCTTTAGCTGTTCCAATTTCTTTAATACCCAATCAGGGAGCTGATAAGCGGAACAGCCTTTTCCTACTCTTATCAAGCCGAATTTTGTAAGACAGCATTTAAGAGGTCAAATTTCACCCTGTTTCTTGGGTTAGATTGGATAAATTCACTCCAAATGAAAAGAATCTAGAAAACATCTACAATTTAAACGTCAAAAACGCCATCTAAATGCAAGGCAAAACATCTAAATTTAGATGTAAAACATACAAAGTGGCAACACTGAGCTCACTAGATGCAGACTTGAATTTCTCCATTAAACATTTTCGTTCTTTACTATTTCTACTCCTTTTCCTTATTTTTTCTCCTCTTTTTCTTTTTATTCTTCTTCTCTTTTTTCCTTTCCTCTTCTTTTTCCTCTCCTTCTTCTCTGATTTGTTTATTCTTCCCCTCTTTCTCTTCCTCTTCTTACTTCTACTTCTACCTCATCATTCAAATACTTTGTTGTTCAGTGTTGCAGATATCACTCGTCGTTCTTTACTCTCTTAGTTAAAATCATGCCTAACTATTTCAGTATCAATCACAATCACTGCTATTCAGTTGCTACTTTTCGTGTTTAACTTACTTACATACAAAATTACCATGCTTGTTGTAATAGCAAAGTCTCTACTCCTCTCTCTCTCATAGTTTTACTTCAGTAAGCTTACTATGAACAATCACACACACACACATGGCTAACCCTGAATAACTTTTTGATCCATGAAAATCTCCGTATCACCTCAATTGTGTTCTCATTAACAGGCTATGTGACCAGTATATCTGCTATACGGATTGACGCCAATACTGACTGACTGACTTTCTACCCCACCAGGACATCACACAAGCGATAAACACCCGATGACACAATGTGCCACCATGTGGATGAGGATCACCGTGCAGAGGTCCCAGAAACCGCGTTCAGCCAATTAGCCATATTTATGGCCTGGCTATATTGCAGCCCCTGGCAAGAGTCAGAGTAGGGCTTCAAATAACGAAAAATTTCGTCCTAAAAAGGACGACATAATAGAAACCGGCTATCCTCTGAATAACGGGCACAAAAAATGGCGGCCGCAAAAACATCCTAACAGAGCCTCAGTCACGTGTCAATTGTGCACTTCCGGCAAATACCGCCAACGCCGAGTGTATCCCCCACACGTCTCACGCGGCGTGGATTGGGGCTAAACTAGGTGGCTAGGACTCACGAGCAAAGCTGCAGGAGATGCGGAAGCTGCGGCTCGTAAGTTCCAGCCATCTAGCTTAGCCCTAATCCACCCCGCATGAGCGGCGTGGGGAATACACTCAAATTAAGTCACCGGAAGTGCGCTATTGACACGTGACTGAGGCTCTGTTAGGATATTTTTGCGGCCGCCATCTTATGTGCCCGTTATTCGGAGGATAGCCTAGAAACCAATACAGACACACATGGCGAAGGGGTGGTTCAATTAACCTAATTCTTGGTTAGGAGTTTAAAAATAATAATATTAAAATTAAATTTGCATATAATAAACACATATATTATATCTGTAGTAAAATCAAATGTTGAAACAAATAAAGAGAAATTCTATACGTTCAAGGAAGCCGCTTCTACGTTTATCCGAAGATATTAATAAATTGTCTCCATTTACAGCATGGCTGCGATATTTGGGGCTTCGGCTGACACATCCGACTTCCGCAAGTGTTTGTTTCCCGCTTCAAGACTTAAACAGAATATGCAACTCTAACTTATATAGTTTCAGAACCAAGCTACTTACAAAAATTATTATCATCATCATGTAACATGTCCTTTTTTTTTCAAAGTCTGACATGGCGGTTGATATGAACAGAATATTTCAGCTTCCTAGACAAGATGCTGCCTATTGGCTAATCTTCCTTGACATTTAGATCTTTCAGAAACGTAAAAATATGCAACTCTAAATTATATAGTTTTTTAGAATTAGGTTACATATTTTAAGTTCTTATGTTGTCTCCCTTTTGACATAAGCTAGTAAACGTTGGAGAACCACTAGAGTTATTGAACTTGAGTTAAATGCATTCGATAACAAATGCCAGGGAACAACGATGAACATAAAATAAGATGAATTCAAAAGGAGCTGTTAAATAGGATCATAGATAACCACAAGTGACAACAGTTGTAACCACACAAGTGGAGAGGGCGAAATATTTGAGGTATTCTCAGATGCGACGAACAGAAAATCACCAAAAAGGCACTAGAATGGGAAATATAGGCATTGGGTCAACGAGAAAGTTAAAAAATAAACCTAAAACGAATTTTGAAGACAGAGGCCAAAGGTACTGGATTAGATTTCATCCATGAAGTCGAAGTACCGGATATAGTGGAAAAGAGAAATAGACCGCGAGCCCAGTGTGATATATAATGGTACGACAGGACAATAAATAATGGAATAAATCTCCTTCTTCTTCGCGTTCACCAGCTGTAAACTCTGGCGGAAAGTTGTGGTTGTTCATCCACTTCTGTACTGCAGTCCTGTTCCAGAACCTGAGTGTTGCGAGTGCATCCTTTTTACAGATCGGACTCATTTGTATGCAGACTGCTGGTTCCTTGCTTTTCGGGCAGATACACTCCGACTTTGAAGGAAGCTCCCAATTAGTCTACTCTTATGACATGCTTTTAGGTAGGCAGTGGGTCTATTCTTGTTTTCCCTCTAACGGGGCCCCGGAACCCAAACGGGGAACGGAATAAATGAATGAATGAATAAATAAAGAGATTTAAGCACGAATGAATAAATGAATTAATGAACAAAAGAACGAATTAATGAATGCAAAAAAAATGAATGAATAAATTTCAGTTTACAAGAAACGATACAAAGTTAGGAGCCAATCCTCCTTGAGACTCAGATCATTAAGAATGTCCGAATATTTCCTCTGCGTCTATGAGACTCAAAGAATGGTCTTGGAATTTTAACCACTATATCACAAGTATGAAAAGCAAACTCAATAAAACTCTGTTTATGAATATTTTTAATACATGCAAATAATATGCTGTAGTTTAACAACGAGTGTTATTATCCTAATTAATGCTTAATAAGGACAACAGAAGATCAGTACACATAATAATATCCAATATCATCCGCATATCAAAACAGAAAACACGTATTTTTTTAAACAATACAATACAATACTATTTAATATCAAACGCCGATTCTGGAAAAGTGGGTGGAAAAACATAAGGTGTTTAAACAAATGAAAACAACACTGAGGAGCACCCACCACAGCCCATTGGAAACAACCTCGGTCTTCGGTGATTTATTCTGTCTCGTGGATTTTCTTGGGATGTCTCGAATGCCCATTGCCCATCTCCTAGCCGCATTGGTAAAGAGAAATAGAGGACAATAGACCCTCTGCCTTCCTAAAAAGCATGTCGTATAAGGCAACTAATCAGAGGAGTTTCTTTCGAATTCGGAGTGTATATGCCTGAGAGACAAAGAGAAAACGATGCGAGATTTTAAAAAAAAATATATCCAGCCAAATCAGTAAAAATAAAAATGATCTGCATGTAAAACGTAAGTCCTGGAATAAGACAAAAGTCTAGAAATGGACGGGAAGTCGCCGTGGCGGAGAGGCTTTTAAAAATACAAGTATGTCGAATTAGAACCTTATGAACCTGTCTGTCGGTGTAAATCAGAAAGCGAACACAAGAAAAAGATTAACCTTATATTGTACAAGTGATATGTGCGATACGGGAACCCTTCCTTTTCCATGGTAATTAATATCATAGTAGTCATCCCCTAGTGGGATGCAATTTTTCGTTATTTTGAAGCCCCACCCTGGCTCTTGCCAGAGGCTGCAATTTAGCCCGGTCATAAATATGGTCTAATGGCTGAACACGGTTTCCGGGACCTCACCACGGACGATCCTCATCCGCATAGTGGCACTCTGTGTCATCGGGTGTTTATCGCTTGTGTGATGTCTTAGAGGGGTAAAATCTAATACTACTACTACGGTGGGCATTACAAAACTACAATTTCATATATGCATTAACAAGTCAACGTTTACAATAAACATTCAGATAAATATTTACCACCAAAACAACACATTAAAATAATACAATCTGGATTTTACTAGTAAAACTATATTATACAGTTATTAAATACTAAGGCATGGACAGGCTTTTTTAGGATACAGAGGTGCCGCTGCATCAGGCAGCACCGTAATGAGGCGGCATAAGCAGCGAAATCAAAAAACAGTCTGAACATTGAAGGGGCGGCATTTCAAAGACTTGAATTACCCCTGTTTTGGGGTAGGATAATAAGAAAGCATCTAACATGTTTATTACCGCGTGCATTGAATGTTTAAAGGCGCGTATGCCTACTACTGCATTTTATTAGAAAGCTATCGTGCATTTTTCAGGCCTCGATGCAGCCGGATTTCTTTCGAAAATGACTATGGATCCCAGGTCAACCCAGCCTTACATGGTTACCAGGTAAAATCCTGGGAAATAAAGGCGGTCGGTGTGATGCCTTTCACATTCATCGATGAATTTTGATTGGGTAATAAAAATAGAGGTCTAGCCTAAATGCCCAATCGGTATCGAGGCGTGGAAACGTGTCTTTTACTTCACCTTTATAGTTTACTAGATGTACCCGGCCACGCGTTGCTGTGGCTAAGACTGGTGAAATGGAAAAGAAAGACACGTTAAAGCGTTCATATGTTGTATGTCATAATGCCTGTGGGTATACAATATTCTTTGTTGTTCCATTGTCGGTGTAGATATAAAGATTGTCTGGTTTGCCGACTCTAGGATAATCAAGAAATAACTGTCCATGTGAGAAACAATCCGTGACTAGATCTCCACCACGCAGTTCTAAAGATTGGCCCTGAGCATTGTTGATTACAAATGCCAATCGCTTTAGGAACTGCAAGTTCTTAAAATAAAATGGCAGATACAATGTAATCATAGGAATGAGAGGAATGAGGACATCTTCACCGTTGAAAGGCCCTGTCAGGATTGTAGCTTCTACGATGTTGCTCAGTAAGCGTTTTACAGCAAGCCGAGTGCTGTTGCAAAGCTTTAGCTGGTTGATATTTCACAACATGATAGTTGGCACGCCGATCTTCAAGTGCAGTAAGTCCGGTGGTATAACTGGCGGATCGAGTGAATTTTAAAAAAATTCTGCTTTCTTCCGAATAACGGGCACAAAAGATGGCAGCCGCAAAAACATCCTAACAGAGCCTCAGTCACGTGTCATTTGCGCACTTGCAGTCACGAGCACATCCTGGCAAAACTAGTATTACGTGTCATTTGCGCGCTTGCGGCGACTTAATTTGCGGTTTTCCGGCGACTACCGCCACCGCCAAGAATCCCCTACGCCGCTCACGCGGCGTGGATTGGGGCTAAACTAGATGACTAGGACTCACGAGCAGCAGCTTCTGCATCTTCTGCAGTTTTGCTCGTGAATCCTAGCCATCTAGTTTAACCGTAATCCAAGCCGCGTATAAATTTTTGTGAAATTTTTAAAGCAATTGGCGAAGAGCACTCGCCATACAGCTTCCTGCAGATTTCTGAGGTAAACTCAGCAGTCAAAGCTCGCAGAAAAATGTACCCGCGCCAGGGCGGCAATAAAACAAACATCGATGTGATCGTTGCTGTAGCTATCTGGTTCATACTTTGTGCAACACTCTTATTTAAAAACACGCGCATATTCGAATACAACATTGTGTCAAAATTTGAAGCAATGGGTGAAGAACTTTCAGAGATTAGCTGTAACAAACAACTGAAATTTTCATTATTATTTGTATAGCTTGATAAGAAGAAACTCCACACGGGAGCATGTACAGCAGGGGTCTACCAATCATCAGTAGAAGTGACCTCTCGTCGACAAATGTTTCGACCCACGAGCTCCTAGACATTTTTTAGAGAGTGGGCCCACCTGAGTTCATGAAGCTCAGGGTTGGTTCCCCCTGCTGCACCGATTATCGGATGTTATTCGGATAGGGACAAGACGAATTCGTGATTTTGCAGAAGGTACTGTGAGATTAGAAATCGTCGCGGTAGCATAATTAAAGCAGTCTGCATACCTGAACGACCGAGCGGCAAGCTTACGATTGGTATACCGGACACATGTTGGACTTTTATTAGCAGATGGCAGAGGGACATTGGCAGACAGTTCGGACACGGTGGACTTTCAAGGGATGAGAAATTATTTTCCGCTAGACACCCGGAGCAGCTCACCGAGGCCCGTCCCCTACGTTGTTTCGTTGTGTTGAAAATTAAGGAAAACCCACACAGATGTATGGTAAGATATCACCTTTTGGTGATAGGCAAATATTTTGGTAAAATCAAGCATATGGCAAACATTATCTAGCACAACCATTAAATACACCATACAATGTTCTCACTGTCATTGGTTTCTAAATGAGAAGGACAAATGCTTCTATGAAGTCTGTGTTGCAATTCATGTTTTCCCTGTTCCATACAACTTTTCGTACACTGTTGACTCCTTGGACTAGTGTTTCCTTTTTAATGGGCTGTACAGGGACATTCTTGCGGGATATGTTCTGTTGTCTGCACACACAGCTCACAAAGGCGTTACCAGGGGATCTGGCCGATGCTCAACACTCAGGGAAAGGATGAGATGGATATACAATCAGACGGTTACTAGTACCATCGGAATTGGAACGCTTCAATTGCTGCTGAAGATGGTGACAAAGCACCTATGGGAGTGTAATGAGTGATGTGATGTCGATTCCTAATTCAACATTCAACATTGTATAGGGTGAATGTTTAATGACTGTAGACTTTTTAAAATCAATTATTTGCCCACAGTAATTAAATCAGTGTATTGATCATGTCATATAACCGTTAGTTTAGAATATCACTGCTATATACCGGTGTTTCAGTAATTAATCTTAGCTGTAATGGTGTTAACTGTTGAAGAAAGAGTACTTTTGTTTGAGCATGTGTTCCTTAACGATGGCAGGTATTTGAATGTGGTTGTTCAACAATTTGTGATGTAATCTCCCGATACTTAAGTGCCTCTTCCTAATACTATTAGCAATTTAACCAGTAGAATCGATTGTGAATAGAGCTGCAGTGTAAAAAAAGCAGTACCCAAAATAAGATACACTTTAGCAGTAAACATTGCGTTGCTTCAACAGACGGTGATTACACAAAAAAAGGAACCGTTTTGAGACTCCAAAAAATACACCCTGTATATTGTATAGCCTATTCGTAGTAAAAAGGGTCATCATAGAGAAACTCTGGCAAGCCAAACAGACACGCACGCAAGCTAGTATGAGTGTTAGTTTTTCTGACGCTGGATCTCTAGGTTGTCTTCTTCATCCTCCGCAGCTGCACATAAGTGGCCACCATCATGACGACAGCGTTGATGAGTAGAGCCATGTGGTTGAGCCACAGGTCCCACGGCTCCTTGTAGTTCATCTCATTCTCCATCAGGAAAGAGTTGCCAGATTTGCTGTATAGGAAAAGACAAAAACCGTAATCGTCACCACATGTGTTATGCAATTTTTTTTACTATTGTTGTTGTTGCTACTACTAACTTTATTACTTACTATTACTAAGTTGATTGCTGAGTTGATCCAAGAAGCGACGTCAAAGCACTCTGGGCTTTCCCATTAGCTCTCCGTGCCCATCTTCAGCAGCCAGTTCAGAGTTCCAATACCAATGGTGCCAGCAGCGTTCGGATTATGGGTCCGTCTTGCCTTTCCTCTGAGCGTCGTGTATCGGCAGATCCCCTCGTCACTCTTCGCTGCATCACTCTCGCCAGACTGTGGTGATCCATTTGCTCCTCCGATTTGTAGACGTTTACTACAATTATTTCTCGCTTTTGTTGGATATATCTGAGCATTGCCACAATTTCTGCCTTGAACTCTTTCGTTGATTGGGGAAAATAATAAATGAATCTGCTTTTAAATTAAATTCATTATGTCATAGGATTCACAAGCAACACACCAACGAAACAGCAAGCCGCTAACAAACAAACTAGCAAACGATCAGACTGTGGCACTTGTTGGTAAAGTTATGTACAATAAAACTTCAGTTAAACTTAATAATCTGGGCTAGGGCTGTGGCACTTGTTGGTAAAGTTATGTACAATAAAACTTCAGTTAAACTTAATAATCTGGGCTAGGGCTGTGGCACTTGTTGGTAAAGTTTTGTACAATAAAACTTCAGTTAAACTTAATAATCTGGGCTAGGGCTGTGGCACTTGTTGGTAAACTTATGTACAATAAAACTTCAGTTAAACTTAATAATCTGGGCTAGGGCTGTGGCACTTGTTGGTAAAGTTATGTACAATAAAACTTCAGTTAAACTTAATAATCTGGGCTAGGGCTGTGGCGGACAACCGAATAGACGGATAACAGATATATCTTAATACTGTACTTGTGTACAGAAACGTTATTTCACTTTAATATAAGATTAATAACCATATATGAATTGTAATACTATAAACCTAAGTTACTTTAATATAATCTGTCATTTCCGGTGTCTTAGCCTCGAGCTTTTTGCGCAGCGATGTTTCGTATCTTACTTAGAAGTAGGATCTATGCTGTTTGCCTCCTCTTGCATTTCAAACAGTTGATATACTTTGATAATATTGTTTTTGCTTCCCAGGCTAGTTAAAGGCTTCTGGTTAAGAACTGATCCCTCATTGTCATCAGTTTCTTCTTCAGTGATACAGATAATGCAAGCACAAATAGATCATCAGTGCCTGAAGAGAATGAGGCAGCGAGAAGTGACCAGGGGAATATGGCCGACACTCAACACACGGGGGGGGGGGGGTGGATGTCGGACATTTAATCAGACTGCACTGGTACCATAGAAATTTAAACTCAGCGATGGCTGCTGAAGATAAGGACAGAGCGTCGGCGGGACTAAGCGATACAGTTTTTAAATGCAACTCAGTTTAGCAAAGGAAACAATAAACTGAAAATAGTGGCGGAAATATTGATTATAAACTTACCATAGAGTCCCGTTGTTCATGCAAAAGTTTCGATCTTTGAACTCGTTGATGTAAAGTGCCTGCACACAAAACACAACACTGGATAACGCTACAAGCAAACAAAGACATATCAATGGTTCTCAGTTAGCCAAAAAACCGTGTTCCATGTAGTTTGGAACCCTTTTCCTCCGCTACTGGGCGTAGAGGGCTGTCAGGTTCAGTAAAGCTGACCATTTTAAAAATTAACCGGCATTCGATGGGTGATGTGGTCAGCATCACACCGGCCGCCTTTACTTCCCAAGACGGTACCTGATACCCATTAAAGGCTGCGTCGACCTAGGAGTCAAGAACATTATGAAAAAATGCAGGCTCGAACCCCGGAGCTTCGTGTCCGCAGGCGAGCGTCTAGTAGCTACGCCACAGCCATAATGACCCTATAATTATTTATGATTAGAAATATTTTAATTGCAAACAATGACTGACCTGGAAACAGTGAGACGACAAACGAAGAAGAAGAAGACTTTATTATTTATTTTTTTTGTAAATTATTTCACTAAATGTGTTAACAGTACCACCAAAATGAAAACACTAATGCCCAAAAATCAATTCATGCTGATTTGTTACTGTAAACTATGCAGTTACAGCAGCACTGTAAAAAAAAAAATCCACCGGTCTAGTTGTGTTTGATCTGTATTTACCCAAGGCGGCAAATGAATATATGTACCACTTGGTTTATAAACCAATCCAGCCCAGTAATTAAAAAACAACTAAGACAGATAAGGGTGCCTACCAAATGAAATCAGAGGAAAACTTTGTAGGACAATTTTACCCAAAACTTTATAGCAAGTCAAAAGCTTTATTTGAAGCGATTAATCGTAGTTTTTTTTTTAATCATCATCATCATCAGGTACCTTGCCGACTGGAGTGGGCGATCATGCCTCTCCATAATCCGCGATCTCCTGCAGCATGTATCAGTTCGTGTGCTGACACACCTCCATGCCATGCAACAAGACTGTCAAGCATCCTCTCTCGTTGTCTTCCTCTATCCCTCCTTCCACAGATCTTTCCAGTGGTCACAACATGTTCTATTTTCCCTCTTCTCATAACATGGCCAAAAAATGATGACTGTCTCCTTCTGATGTCAGTGATAGTTGTCTTCGGTCTCCCGCCTCTTTCAAAACCTCTTGGTTGCTCTTTTTGGCTGTCCAAGGTATTCTAAGCATTCTTCTGTAAAACCACATCTCTGAGGCCTCTAAAAATTGTTTGGCCTGCCTACCGATTGTCCAGGATTCACATCCATATGTTAAAACTGGATGTATGTAGCAATCAAGAATTCTTTTTCTAACTCTCAATGACAAGGATATATTGCACAAGATGTTTTTTTTAATATGGAACCGAATTTACGGATGGGGAAAATGTTTGGTTGAGTAATGCTGGCTATTGTGTAGATCCGATGTTAGTAAATCACATCAAATATAATCCTGAAACTACATCAAACGTCACGGAAATGTAGTGGTGATATGCTTTACTGTCTGCCTGAAGGTCCTAGTTTCGAATCCGCACGATGACGTGTTTTATATAAATGACCTTATCTCGAAAGTTGACCCTTGAATGTGTACGAATAAATAACTTCTTCTTTTTCCTTTACACTGGCTCCAAACTCCTTCTCTCCAATGCACTGTTACTCATTTCTGTAAAGAGAAAAAAAAAGTCTGTGAGGTTTTTTCTGGGGTATTAAATAGTTATGGGAAAATAAAAAGCCAGACAGGCTGTTTTGTGTTAGTGAATTTATGCCTAACAAGCCAGATGTGGTCAACACAGCTTGGGGGCGTGAACCATGTAGAGATACGAACAAATTTTTATGGTCCAGAGAGAATGTACAACCAGGGGATCTGGTCAAAAACTCTACAGAGCTCCTGGCTCTGATTCAATCCCTGCAGAGGTTTACAAAGCTGGTGGAAAAACTTTGACAGAGAAATTATTTCTGATTTCCAGCAAATGTGGCCAAATGAAGTCAACTCACAAGAACTAAAAGGTGCATCAAAAATACATCTTTACAAGCGAGAGGGGAATCGCCGGGACTGCAACTATCACCGGGATATCTCCTCACTATCAATCTCAGGAAAATATATACACGCAAGAAAACTCCTAAATCGTCTTATGGCACGCAAGAAAACTCCTAAATCGTCTTATGGCACGCAAGAAAACTCATAAATCGTCTTATGGCACGCAAGAAAACTCCTAAATCGTTTTATGGTACGCAAGAAAACTCCTAAATCGTCTTATGGCACGCAGGAAAACTCCTAAATCGTCTTATGGCACGCAAGAAAACTACTAAATCGTCTTATGGCACGCAAGAAAACTACTAAATCGGTGGCACGGAAAACTCCTAAATCGTCTTATGGCACGCAAGAAAACTACTAAATCGTCTTATGGCACGCAAGAAAACTCCTAAATCGTCTTATGGCACGCAAGAAAACTCCTAAATCGTCTTATGGCACGCAAGAAAACTCCTAACAGTCTTATACGCAAGAAAACTCCTAAATTAAATGAAGTCTGCTACATGAAAGCCGGTGTGGATTAGAAAGCTGTGTTTGCCTAAAGGCAGTTATAACAAAAATGTCAGAAATAGAACTGTGATGTGCTCACGGCTTTCGTTGACCTCCTAAAGGCGTTCGACTTAGTTAATAGAAAAGATCCGTGGAAGATCATGGCAAAATATGGCTGCCTCGAGGAAATTTTTCATGATGATACAGCATCTGCATGATGGAATGCAAGCTAGTATGCAGGGAAATGGAGAACTTTCAAAACTTTCATGTCTCAAACAGTGTGAAACAAGGGTGTGTACTCACATGTACTCTATTCAGTTTTATGTTCTCAGCTTGGCTTTTTGATGCTCTTCGTGATGAAGATATCGGAACTGAAATCCGCTACCGCATCGATGGAAAACTCTTCAACCTTAAGTGGCTCAAGGCAAAAACCAAAAGTAAGTCATGTATTATTAGGGATCTTCTGCTCGCTGACGACTGCGCTCTTAACGCTGGTTCGGAAGCAGATCTGCAGTACAACATAGACAGATTCTCTGAGGCTTGTGTCAACTTTTGGCTTACTATCAACACGGAGAAAACCAAAATCATGTACCGACTTTGCTGTTCCTTTTTTTTTTTTTTTTTTTTAGAAAACAAATCGTTACTTTTCAACTAACATCCCCGAAGAGGGAATTTTCGGTTATAATTATGACAGATAAAATGGCTTAACATTGCTTGCCCCAAGTAGTCATGAAAAGGACTCTTCATTGGGCAGCCAATGGTCGGCCTGGTCACTGATGTGTGTATCGACCGGCACCAAACAAAGTGTACACTGAAGCAACCATTTTGGTAAAAGGCAGGAAGGTAAGGCTTGTAGACAGATTCATGTGCTTCTGTAGTACACGGTCTCAAAATGTCACCAACAATGATGAGATGAACGCCATGATCTCTAAAGCCAGCCGCACATTTGGCAGACTATACACAAATTGTCTGAGATCAAAAAACATCATTCTGCAAATCAAACTGAATGTATACAGAGCCGCAGTGCTTCTAGTGCTGTTGTATGCTTGTGAAACAGGGAATTATACAGACGTCAGGCCCAGAAGCTCAACCACTTTAATACAGTCTCCACTTCAATACAGTCTGTCTAAGAAAAATACTGACAATCAAATGGCAAGTCAGTGTCGCGGAAACTGTCGTACTGGATAGACCTGGCATTTCCTATCATCGATATCATCGTGATGCAATCACAGAATCGAGGGGCATATCATGTCGTCGTCTTGTTAGATAAATTGGCTCCCAAATCTTGTATGCTGAGATACAGGAAGGTTGGCGCTTACATTGTACGGATTCGAACTCAAGATCTTCGGGTAAGCAGACAGGTTTCTAATAACGAATGTACAGAGTATATTACAACTTACTGTTAACGAATATTTGAACAGGTTTATGTGTTGAATCCAGTTCAGCCAGGGGCCTATAGAATCCAAGCTGATCAGGAAACCTCCAAAAAGCTAGAGCAAAAAGAAAGTCTCAACTGAAAATGCAATACACAAAAACACGCTGTGTGAGTGTGTGTATGTGTTTGTGTGTGTGTGTGTGTGTGTGAGAGAGAGAGAGAGAGAGAGAGAGAGAGAGAGAGGAGAGACAGAGAGAGAGGTTGGACTAAATCGTCATTCATATAATCCAAGTCAAGTCCCCAGTCATTGCAATCAAGTGACAAGTCATTGCCACTGAGCACCCAGTCAAGTCTCAAGTCATTGCCATCGAGCACCCAGTCAAGTCAAGTCATTACTCCCACGTTCCAAGCCATTGCCACCGAGCACCAAGTTAAGTTCCAAGTCATCACCCCAAGTCCCAAGTCATTGCCACCGAGCACCAAGTAAAGTCCCACTTCATCACCCCCAAGTCCCAAGTCATTGCCACCGAGCACCAAGTAAAGTCCCACGTCATTGCCACTGAGCTACATGTCGAGTCCCAAGTCATCGCCACCAAGTCTCAAGTCATTTCCACCGAGCACTAAGTCAACAGGTCACCAAAAATGCTTCTATGTTGAGCCCTGAATCTCTTCTACTACTACTACTACTACTACTACTACTACTACTACTACTACTACTACTACTACTACTACTACTACTACTACTACTACTACTACTACTACTACTACCACTACTACTACTACTACTACTACTACTACTACTACTATACTACTGATGATGCTGCTGCTATTACTGCTTCTATATCTACTACTACTACTGCTGCTGCTGTTGCTAATAATGAAGATGAAGATGAGGATGTTATTAATACTATCACTTCTACTTTCACAAACGCAAGAGATGCCACATAAGAGGAAATAAAAACAGTGACAATTAAGTTCAAAAGTATCACCCACCATCATAAATGTGTAGAGAATGGTCAGCAACAACTGGGCGACAGCGAACACATGAACCGTTGAACTGATCAAGAAGGACATCCCAGCCGCTGCCAGCGTGGTGCAGATTAAGGAAAACATGAACATGAAGAAGTGGTCCATTCCGGGATTTAGACCTGGGGAGCAGAAGCAAACATGTGTTTGTGATGTCATAGTATAGGGACTGCACAAAAGGAAGGCAGAAAAATACTCGGTTTAGCAATAAAGGTAAAGGCAAAGTCGGGAGATGTGAACCAGCGTCATGACACATGGCTATAAACTATAAGTGCTCTGCCACCAGCACGGACAGCTGATAAGAAAGTGTCCGCACGTAACTCTGTAGCTACAGCGACCTTCCTTTATTTACCCCAGAGTGTCAACTCTGGTACCCATTTCCTAGAGGCTGGGTGAACTCCGGGAACCGCCCGGTTTCCAACACCGACCGTGGGCTGCAGCGAGTAGCAGCTAGATTTGAAGGCGAGCCTCTTATCGACTGCGCTAACGCAGCAATGCAAAAGCTAAACAGCGTGAAGAACCTATGAGAAAGCTTCTGCAAGCGAGTTAATGCCACTATTTTCAGATGATGCATCTTTGCTGTGGCAACTTATGGATTGTGAATCAATGACTCATATTCAATCATTGAAGAGAAAAAAAAATCAATGCGTTTGAACTGAAAAGCTACAGAAAACTTGTTAGAATACCATGGACTCAATAAGAAGAAAAACACCGACATTCTAATGAACATCAAAGGAAAATTGGCTCATACACAGCACCCTGCCTCGAATGATGAGCAATGTTGGTGACGTTCAACGTCATGACGGCCTAGTGAAAACGTGGCTGGGGGTACAGTTTTTGGAAACGAGGCAGAGGCAGACCTCTGCGATGGTGGATACAGGGTATTGAAGATGCATTGGTTATGAAAGCACATTGGACTGGAGAGTTGGTACAGAAATAGACTTTCATGCGTGCCTTGACGGCAAAGAAGTTGTTTAAGGGAATCAAGATTGCAAGCCCTATTGGGCGTTCAAGGTACAGTTTAAAAACAAAAAAGTTAGTTGTGTGTCCAAATTAGAGAAAATTACAGAATCAGCCATAGTAAAAAATGTGGCTGTTTGGCAATTTTATGTTCAGCAGTTAGCCACTTTCCTGCTCTCGATTGCATTTTTCAAACCAAGGTATGGTGGTCTGCTGCCAAATCGCCCCCAGCTAGTATCGCACACGTCACCACGGAATTACGAAGCTCAACGCCTAATAAACAGACGCCCACATAAGCACACAACAGTGGTCTCGAGTTACAGTGTCCGCCTCGAGTGCTAGAGGTTTCGTATTCATGCCCCGGTGCAGGCTAGGACTTTTTCTTTTCACGTGAACTTCTAGTAATTTCTCCTGGTCTCTGGGTAGTGAGATCAGATGCCAGCGTGTATTGTATAGTACGCCAAAAAAAATCCCTTGGCACTTGGAATCGAAAGGAGTAGCCTAACGGCGCTCCCCGGGCGAAATTTGGAGTTTAAAATTTGCCCGAAATATTTCAGGATCCTCGCCGGTGCTACGGAGCCCGTGCACTACGCTGAGCTACATCGAACTCGCACTTGAGTTAGAAGAAGAACGGAGCACTTATGGGTTACTACCGGTGTGCCATGATGTTGATCCGTTGTTCAAACTTCAAAACTTCAAATAGAGGATAATCAAATCTGCGATACACAACTGGGCTTACCTACTGCGAAGTAGATCGCTGCAGACATAACTATTATAGGCAATGTCCTCAAGGGTAGAATGTCAAAGATAATCTTCACCAGGAAGTAGACAGACACTCTGTAGAACCCGCTGACGTTCTCATGCCTGCAATTTTTCAAAAAAGTGCAACATTATTCACATTAACCGAGACGAATGTTACGAATACCTTGGACGGCCAGAGTAACTAACAATGATTCCTTGAAAGTAGCTAATGAAAGTAGATCTCTATATACAACAATAAGATAGAGACAAACACTGTTCTTTGGCCACATAATGAGAAGAGAGACATTGGATAACATCGTGACAACTGGAAATATCAGTGGGAAAATGGGCAAAGGTCAACCAAGAGAGATGATGCTGGATGGGCTGACAAAGCCAGTATCGGGTTTTTCCTCTTCCCCTAGATGTAACTTCACACCATGAAAACACCCTCAGGTCCGTCTTTCTGTTTCCAGAAGCTTTAACTCTCTGAACACAGTGACAAACCTTGATCCTATCCCCGGCACAACTTCCATACACAGCATAAAAACGCTTCAAAAGTTAACCATAATTTTTTTTTTTTATCATCTCTGGTGAAAAACACAATGTTATTTTTCCGGCAGATAAAAAACAGTATTTTTTGGTTGGTATTTTTGAACTGTAAAAATGCATTTCATCTCAGTGCAAAAAACAACAGAAATAACCAACCGACGATAATCTTTCCCTTTGAGCCTTCTTTGTATTTTGTTTTTCTTCCCTTCCTGTGTCCATAAGAGTGCTTGATGGGGTAGTTGTTTTATCCATCCTGAGTGCATGGCCGATGTTAATTCCAACAGCGTTTTCTTATAAAATTGGATACATTATCTTGCTTGATCTCTTGTCTTATCTGCATATTGGATCTGTTCAGTGGAGATTCGGTATTCTTCTAAGTCATCTGTTCTCAAAATTTTTTAAATTTTTTTAAGAGCTACCTTTGTTGGTAGAAGGATTGTTAATCTTTCGACAGAAAGAATAAAATAGAAAGCGCTAACAGTAAGCAGCGTTAACGTGTAATATATACAGTACATTGGTTCGTTTTAAAAAATACTTACATAAAAATTTTTCTTTCTTTAATGAACACTTCTAGCGCTGTCAGGTTGAAGAACAGCTGGACGATGATGAGGAAAAAAATGACTCCACACCTGGGGACATGTTTTCAATGTAGTTTTTTTTTTTTTTTTTTTGTTTTGTTTTGTAAGTAAAAAAGTAAAGTAAAGGACCCTTTTCCATGTCTTCAGGCGTATTGGGCATATAGGGCTAGACTTATATTTATAGAACAATTGGCACTTGTGGGTGATGTGGTCAGTATCACACCTGCCGCCTTACTTCCAAGGAATTGTACCTGGTAGCCACTGTGAATTATTTTTTTGTACTTTGCACGAAAAAGTATTTTACTTTATTTTACATTATACAAAATGGGCCGCCCTGGTGGACGCTCGCTTACTGATCGGAAGGTCGTGAGTTCGGATCCTGAAGAAGCGGGACTCTTTCCTAGAACATTATGGGAAGCAAGGCGGCCGGCTTGATGCTGACCACGTCACTCACTGAGTGCTGTTTCAGTCTATACAAATGTCGGTCTAGTCCTATAAACTCATTACGCCTGAGGGCCTAGAAAAAGATCCTTTACTTTACTTTCACATAGTACAATTTTTATACTGCTTCAATTCTCAAGGTATAGCAAGTGTCTTACAAACAATATCACATTCAACCCTGTGTGGGTTCCGGGACCCTTTTATGGGGATAACAAGAACAGACCCTCTGCCTCCCTAACCAGCGTATCGTAACAGTCGACTAACTGGGAATTTCCTTTGAAGTCGGAGTGCATCTGTCTGGGAGACAAGGAACAAGAGACAAATCTGCAAACAAATAAGCCAGATCTGTAAAACGGATGCTCACGCAAAACTCAGGTTCTGCAACAGCACTATTGTGCATTATTCATTTTAAAGATTGTCTTCATCGGACAGCGGACTCGGACGGTAAGTGCTCTGATCTTCTCCTTAGTGTTTTTAGGCTAACAACTCCCATTCTGTTCTTGTTGATGTAACGACGGGTGACTCCCGCGTCGTTTTCCTCTCTCGCCGTTCCAATTGCTACACCCAGGGTATGCAGTCTATTCTATTTTCTACGAAACTGAAAGCCTGACAGCGTGTATTCTCTCGTACGGCATTGATGATGTCTCTTCTGTCTACAGTGGGCCCATTCCTGATAGCCGTACTGTCAGCCAGACAGTCTGCTCTCTCATTGCCTTTTACACCAGCATTCCTTGGGACAAAAATGAAGGTAATTTTGCGAAATGCTGAGTGCTGTATCAGATGGAGCCACTGTTTCCGTATGTATCATGCTTTGGTCTTCTGTTAGCATGCTTATTGAGTCTCTGGGCAAACATGCCCTGGTGAATCCATGAACTGCAGTCAATCTAGGGTCTTTGTCAAAGCCATTACTTCCATAGTGATGCTGCTGGTGTTGGAAGCAAAGACTCAGGAGTCTTCTTTGATGGCTATTCCTTTGGTCCTAGCCGTGAAAGTCCCTGCATTTTGCTTCTGACGAATGCAAGAGCCAGCTGTATAGCCCAGTATCTTCCGGTGGTATGTTTTTTCACCAAGCTTTTACTTCTTCATCAACTTTTGTTGGCATCAAATCACGACACCGTCTTGTTGTCTGGGTGATAACCACCACAAAGTACTGCGTATATTTATTTGGTATAGGTACCAATTCCTCTTCACAGTTTATGTCCCAAAGGAAAATCACCCGCTGAAGTACTGTCTTTGCCCGGCCCAACCAAGTCAGGCCTCGTTTAAGTTTGTTGCCTTTACTTCGAAATCAGAGTACATATGCCTGAGAGGCAAGGGACCAGCAGTCTGCATACAAATAAGGCCAGATATGTGAAACAGATGTGCACGCGAAAATCAAATTCTAGAAGACGACTAAAATACAGAAGTGGACAAGCAACCACAAGTTTCAGCAAGTGTTTATAGCCGGTGTTTATAGCCGGTGTTTATAGCCGGTGTTTATAGCCGGTATTTATAGCCGGTGTTTTTAGCCGGTGTTTATAGCCGGTGTTTATAGCCGGTGTTTATAGCCGGTGTTTATAGCCGGTGTTTATAGCCGGTGTTTATAGCCGGTGTTTATAGCCGGTGTTTATAGCCGGTGTTTATAGCCGGTGCTTATAGCAGGTGTTTAAAGCCGGTGTTACAGACACCTTTATTATTCGTTACTTACGTCCTTTTCAGGACGTAATTTTTTCTTATTTGAAGCCCCACTCTGGCTTTTGCCAGGGGCCGCAATATAGGCAGGCCATTAATATGGCCAATTGTCTGAACGCGGTTTCTGGGACCTCTCCACGGTGATCCTCATCCGCATGGTGGCACTTTGTGTCATCGGGTGTTTGTCGCTTGTGTGATGTCCTGGTGGGCTAAAAAGTCAGTCAGTCAGTCATAGCCGGTGTTAATAGCCGGTGAACATAAGGAAGAAGAAAAGATATATTTTTTTTTAAACAAACATTTCATAGCAGCTTACCTGTCCTTGAACCCTGATATAGGATCTTCTTCAAGCTGCCAGAAGATGGCATCAACAATTGCAGAAAAAACAAGCGCAGTTCCAATCTTCAAAATAAACATCAGTTGTAAAGTTAATTGGTTATTTAATTAGTTAGGTAGTTAGTTATTCAGTCAGTCAGTCAGTCAGTCAGTCAGTCAGTCAGTCAGTCAGTCAGTCAGTTAGTTTAGTTAGTTAGTTTAGTTAGTTAGTTAGTTAGTTAGTTAGTTAGTTAGTTAGTTAGTTAGTTAGTTAGTTAGTTAGTTAGTTAGTTAGTTAGTTAGTTAGTTAGTTAGTTAGTTAGTTAGTTGGTTGGTTGGTTGGTTGGTTGGTTGGTTGGTTGGTTGGTTGGTTGGTTGGTTGGTTGGTTGGTTGGTTGGTTGGTTGGTTGGTTGGTTGGTTGGTTGGTTGGTTGGTTGGTTGGTTGGTTGGTTGGTTGGTTGGTTGGTTGGTTGGTTAGTTAGTTAGTTAGTTAGATTGCTGGCTGACCGCTTCACTCGTTTGGTTACTATTTGGTTTGTATTAAGTCGAGTTGAATTAACAACCGACATCATAGCCGGCGACGACATCTGGCCCGCGGAGGCCTAGCAAGTGGCCCGCAGATCACTGCTTGTTGATTTAATGATCTTCCTACGACGTGGCTCGTGCCTCTGGCTGGTGACGATCGCCATTTTCATAATCTTGGCTCCTAAATATAGTTAGTTCAATAGCCTTGATTTAGACGTTCATTGTCCTGCTGCACCATTCTATGTCACATAGAGCTCGCACTAGGTTCCTCTATTCCTTTCTGTCCTGTACAATCCCTTTAATATCGGATAGAATCTGGTACAGCCCCTTTGGCCTCTCTCATCAACATAGGTTTCAGGGTTTCTTTTGGGAGTCTTTGTTTCCTCCGTTTCTTTATTTCCCATTTTAGTGCCTGTCTGGCTTTTTCTCGGGATGTGTCGAGTACAGCGACATCTTCTGTATCTTAAAACTGTTGTCACCCGTGGTGCAGAACTGCTAACTTAGAAATGTAAAGATGTTTAGATTTATTATACGAACGAGACCCAGGATATGTTTGATGACTGATATGTTTTATGGCAACACAGAGAGTGTAATACCGTAAAAACCCCGTTAACCGTCACCGCCCGGATCAGGGCTATATAATCGAATAGACGGAAAACAGAAATCTCCTAATTCGTATTTAAAGTATCGCAATTTCACTGCGGGCTTGCGACCAATAAGAAAATAAAATCTTCAATGGTAATACTACATACATTTTATATTTAATTTTACAAAGTAATCAATATAGACTTCAAAATAACAACGGTAGTATTGCACAAAAACGTATTGTAACTATAAATGTATGTTACTTTAAAATAATCTTACATCTCCTTCTGTCTTTGAGGCTCAGGCTTTCTGTCCGGCGATGTTCCGAAAGTCGGATCTGTGTTTCTTTTCCTTCCTCTTGCATTTCAAACCAGTAGATGCACATTGATGACATTGTTTCTGCTTCCCAGTGGCTAGTTGTAGGTTTTTGGTTGAGAACTGATCTTTTATCGTCATCAGTTTATTTCTTCTTTATTGCTAGAAACAACTTCATCTTCGTGGAAGAATATTTTTTAGACGATAGCGGTTAATAGAAACTGACAGTTAAACTAGTACCGGTTAATCGAACTTTCACTGTACTTTGATGGTGTGGCCACACTGATCGGGGGGACAAGAACACTGACGAGATCTGTATCTCTGGTGATCGTGTGGAATGGTAAACAATAACCGTTTATGTTTATTGGCATTGCACAGTTTCTCAACATTCATTGAAAAAATAAAGCAAAATGTTGAACTCTGAATCGATATCACAGCAGTCAGGACATTCTCATAAGTGCCACGTCCCCGTCTTCAGCAGCAAGAGCCGAATTCCAGTTCTGCTGGTAACTGGTAACAGTAGCAGTCTAATTGTATGCACGTCTCGTCATTCACCTGGGTAAAGTGCCAGTCAGTTTCCCTATCCACTCCTCGGGTCACCTTTCTCTTTAGACTGTGATGATCTATGAGTGCCCCGCACTGTCGACTCGTCCCCAAACGGCCCTTACAACATCTAGCTTGTCATGGATCAATCCACCACCATATAGTACAGAACCAGCCAGTACAGCTCCCTGTTCATATCCCAACACACCGGCATCACCTGGAGAAAACATCAAAAGGACGCTAACTACTCGGGTCCTTTGAAGCGATATTTACCACTCTGCGAGGAGCATACCTGTCTCCCCCTTTCTCATCATGCTCTGTGAGTTATTTAAAAAACAGAAATATTTATTATCATTCAGGAGCAGTATAAAACGAACAAAAGACAAATAATTCATACAGTAAATAAAGTTGACTGTGGATGTCTCCCGATATCCTTGAGTGTTCTTCCTGCCAGCACTCTCACCTGAAACAAACCAAATTACACACAGTGATATTTGTTTTAAAAATTAGATCTATGCTATCAATGTCAAACATGGACACTGTCTTGAGAAGACACAAGGGAAAAAATCACGACATAAATAAAATACTTATGTACTATGCTAGGTGTAACGAGGAGAGATTGACTTAGGAACGATGATATCACGAGGAGAATCGGCTCAGAACTAATACTGAATTTCATCGGTAGACAACAAATAAAATAGGTTGGCCATGTAACAAGATTGGCATTAGACAGGGCACCATAGAGAGCAGAATTATAAAGATACAACGGTAACAGAGCCAGAGGTTGACCACACAGAACATGGAAGACAGACATATCAGACACTGAAAAGTGTTATACACGAAGCAAACAGAAGGACCCGTTCAAACATTTCTTCCTGCCCTGACGCCGCGAGGCATTCCGGGAGTAGAGAAAACAAGAAGATCCAATATGATGGGCTCTATGAATTGTTAACTATACTCCAGAAATCATGAAGGAATTGGGGGGGGGGGGGGTGAGACGAGGGTCTGGAAATTTTATAGGTTCCCCACTGTTAATACTTCTCCGACACACTGGTTAAACCATCCAGGATCTTTTTCTCACACTTTTATTTTTAAATCTTTCGCCCTCCTTGTCTCTGCCTCTCTCTTCTCCAGTCTCTCTCTGTTTCTCCCTCTTTGTCTCTCTCTCCCAGGTCGAACCCTTTAAAATTAGTACCAAGACCCGTGGTGTAGAGGTTAGACACTCGTCTGTGGATCCGAAGGTCGTGCGTTCAGGTCAAGACGGTGCCAGACTTTGCTTTTTGTATTTTATTGTTTAAATGATCTTGGCTGGGAAGTTACGGGCTGCCTACAGCAAAATGGAAAAACTATCGCTTGGAAAGAAAAAAGGAAATGTGCTAATGAAAAAAGAAGCATGAAATCGAAAGAAAGATTGGACCTAGGGACCAGAGTAAGTGACAGAAGGATTAGACCTAGTGACAAAAGTAAGCAAAAGAAAGATTTGACCTAGTGACTAAAGTAAGTGAAAGAAAGATTGGACCTAGTTACCAAGTAAGTGAAAGAAAGATTAGGCTTAGTGACTAAAGTAAGTGAAAGAAAGATTGGACCTAGTTACCAAAGTAAGTGAAAGAAGGATTGGACTTAGTGACTAAAGTAAGTGAAAGAAAGTTCTGACCTGGTGACCAAAAGAAGTTGGATACTCGACGGCGTCATGGCGCTCTCCTTTCTCGCCTCCCTGAGCCTCGAATTGTGAGAAGATGACCCCAGCTTCTTCTAGTAATCTGTAAGAAACAAATGGTTAGCTCTCAGTGCATGACGTCCACTTGAATCAGCCTGCATTTCTGCACCACACTGTCATTATCTACTTTATGTTCTTCTTCCTAATGTCAATGTCATGTGACATTAGTAGTCATGTCTATCCACAACCTTCTGCCTCGTGTACTTCCGATAAATTCTGACACAGATGATCGTCCATGCCATGATGTCGAACTGTCCAGCATCTTTTGTCTCAGTCTCCCTCTGCCTCTCCTCTTATCCAACTTTCCTACTGTCACGAGGTACTCCAGTTTTGGCCTCCTCATCACATGACCAAAGACTGTTAAGAGTAAGTAAACATAGCCAGTCTGTTGATTGATATTTGTCTCGGGACAGAAACTCACCGTTTGTTCCAGTGTGACTCCTTGAATCCAACCACCAGCATTTCTTGCTGACTGACTGTATCTGACAATGAAGGAGGTCATCATTAATTATACAGAGAGACAGACAGACAGACAGACAGACAGACAGACAGACAGACAGACAGACAGACAGACAGACAGACAGACAGACAGACAGACAGACAGACAGACAGACAGACAGACAGACAGACAGACAGACAGACAGACAGACAGACAGACAGACAGACAGACAGACAGACAGACAGACAGACAGACAGACAGACAGACAGACAGACAGACAGACAGACAGACAGACAGACAGACAGACAGACAGACAGACAGACAGACAGACAGACAGACAGACAGACAGACAGACAGACAGACAGACAGACAGACAGACAGACAGACAGACAGACAGACAGAGAAAAGAATCGGAAGGAAATAGGAGAAAGAGTGAGGGAACTACAGAAAGGCGAAGAAAGAGAGAATGAACTAACAAACTTTTTTTTTAGCAGGGAACGAATTTGGCATGCAGGTAGATCTAACATTTAGCCCTTCTAACCCCCTTCCGTGTATGCATCATTTCATGTATACATTTGTTAACAAATAATTGTACATTTTTTTATTTATACATCTGTTAACAAATAACTGTAAACATTTTATTTATACATCTGTTAACAAATCATTGTAAACATGTTATTTGTATATCTGTTAACAAATCATTGTGAACATTTTATTTATATATCTGTTAACAAATCATTGTAAACATTTTATTTATATATCTGTTAACAAATCATTGTGAACATTTTATTTATATATCTGTTAACAAATCATTGGGAACATTTTATTTATACATCTGTTAACAAATCATTGTAAACATTTTATTTATACATCTGTTAACAAATCATTGTAAACATTTTATTTATTTATCCGTTAACAAATCACTGTAAACATTTTATTTATTTATCCGTTAACAAATCACTGTAAACATTTTATTTATTTATCCGTTAACAAATCACTGTAAACATTTTATTTATATATCTGTTAACAAATCACTGTAAACATTTTATTTATTTATCCGTTAACAAATCACTGTAAACATTTTATTTATTTATCCGTTAACAAATCACTGTAAACATTTTATTTATATATCTGTTAACAAATCACTGTAAACATTTTATTTATTTATCCGTTAACAAATCACTGTAAACATTTTATTTATTTATCCGTTAACAAATCACTGTAAACATTTTATTTATTTATCCGTTAACAAATCACTGTAAACATTTTATTTATTTATCCGTTAACAAATCACTGTAAACATTTTATTTATTTATCCGTTAACAAATCACTGTAAACATTTTATTTATTTATCCGTTAACAAATCACTGTAAACATTTTATTTTTTTATCCGTTAACAAATCACTGTAAACATTTTATTTATTTATCCGTTAACAAATCACTGTAAACATTTTATTTATTTATCCGTTAACAAATCACTGTAAACATTTTATTGGCGCATCTGTGAACAAATAATAGTAAACATTTTATTTATACATCTGTTAAAAAAGGCAAGTGTTAACAAATAATTGTAAACATTATTAACAGAGGCTACATATTAAATACAAGCACTGGCATGAGCTTGAATTACACCCACATTTCTAGCCACAGTGAACTACTGTATTTGCAATCAATCTAGAGAGAAAGATGGAAGGTCTATGATAGGAGCAAATGAACCATTAGCATCAAGTTTTCGCATTATAGATATACTTAATGAGTTGAGTTGAGTTCTCAAGAGCCAACATCATAACACTCGGGATATTCAAGCGTCTAGCAGCTACATCCCGATGGCTCATTTACATGAAGAAAGGTAGGTTAAGCGGGTTATAAGAGGGGTCGTAACTCAAACATTTGTATGGATAGTTGGGGTGGGTATTAAAACCCTTAGCTGGGGAGTGGGGGAGGGGGAGAGAGGGGGAACCGTCCTGAAGAGAACTGTGTACTCTTTCATTGATGATTGTTTCGGCTTTAGAATAGTAACGAAATTAAAGCCATCAGACTTACTTTCAGCTTCTGTGTCCTCTTCTTTCTCCAGGACATCGCCTTCAGTTAAGGCACCCGGATCCCCGTTGATGACATCAAGGAAAAAATCTGGAGGATTGTTGTGTTCCTGGCACATAAACCCTGGTAAATACAACAGATAAATTCACATATGCTGAGTCGACCTGAGTTAAAGAACCGATATCATAGCACTCAGGACATGCCCATAAGAGCTGGGTCCCCATTTTCAGCAACCAGCGAAGAGTTCCAACTCCGATGGTACCAGTAACAGTCTAATTGTAAGTGCGTCTTGCCTTTCTTCTCAGTGTGGAGTGTCCGCCAGAGTTTACAGCACTCCGGACACATCCATAGGTGCTGAGACTCCCCTCTCAACATATTTATCAGCGTCGCGCGGTTAATAGTGCCAGTCCTATGCTGGCTGACAAGACTTCGTGTGCTTCCGGTGCGCTGCTTGGCTGTGCCTATCTTTACTCCAATTCGCGTATTCTTAGCAATGATGTGGACATGTTGCTTCCAAAATCCTCAGAACGTCCTATCTCTCTAAGCGCATTGCCAATGTATGCGTGATCCATGAGCCGGCCATCTTCATTGCCCCCTTAATATTTAGCCCAGTAATCGGAAAATCGCAGCTCTCAAGCAGTCGGCTCTTTAGCGACATGAGTGCGGCTCGGCCAGTCGGCCACAAATCGGGTTGGACTCCGAAAAACATGGTTCTTGACACGAAATTTGGCTCTCAAAAATGTTTATCTGTCCTGCTGCTAAATTTCGGCTCTTATGACTCATGAGTTTGCCAACCACTGCCCTTTGCCACTCCTTGTTGCACAGTTCATTTCATACCGCGAAAATCTAAGTGTGCCTCTGCGATGTTCACTCCCTCCCAAAGAGCCTTGAACTCATCAAGCATGTCAATTAACGAAACATATCTTCAATAGTTCGAAATGGGGGTCTTCTGAATGAGAAACTAGGGTTCTTACTCGCAGAGCCGGTCGCTCTCCACACCGTCATAACAAAAAGATAGATAGAGTATATCGACACGGTATGGCAGTGATCAGTACTACCCATCAAACGCCCTTCATTACCACGTCTCTTAACTGCAGAAGATAAGAATGGAAATAATGGCGGTAGTGGTGGTGATAATGATAGTAGTAGATGATGATGGCGGTAGTAGGTGATTATGGTAGTAGTAGTGGTGGTGATGATGATGGTGTTAGTAGTTGATGGTCCTGATGGGGATGATGGTGATCATCATCGTCGTCGTCACCACCATCATCACGTTCCCCGACTGGAAACTCTGGCGGCAAGTTTTGGTTATTCCTTCAGTTACGGACTTTAATCTTGTTCCAAAACCTAAGTCTTGTGTGCACATCCGTTTTACACATCTGGTTTATTTGTATGCAGACTGTTGGTTCATTGTCTCTCAAGCAGATCTACTCTGACTTCGCAAAGAACATCCCAAATTAGTCGACTCTTACGGCATGCTTGTCAAAGGGCAGTGGGTCTACCACGATAACGATAACAAAGAAATGTACCTTGGGTGGCAAAAAAATCCAGAGCTTCGGGTGCCGGGCCATTGTAAACGGTGTAGCCTTCTGCGAGCAGCACCAGATGGTCAAACAAGCGGTAGATGGAGTAGCGAGGCTGATGTATGGAGAAGATGATTGTCCGGCCTTTCTTTGACAGCCTACGTGAGAGAGACTGAGCACGTGTCAGCTGGTTTCTAGAGAAGTTTACCTGTTTAACATTAGGATAATCCACTCCAAGTAGTCGGACACGATGGGTCGGCTATACACACGTTAGAATTAGTACATAAGGTAGTTTACCAGCTAACACGTACACCGGCTACCAGCCACATGAAAGGTATTCCATGTGAAAAAACACAGCTCACAGGGCTGCACCAAGCCCTAAATACAGGCAATGAAACCATTAACTACCATCCACATAAGGAAACTGCATTAGCAAAGCGCTGTCGAAAGCAAAAACAACTTCGAAGGTTAACATTCTGCCATGCCTAATCCTCCATTGTTTTTAGGTTCTCTCTCTCATTATCTCATGCATCTCCTATTATATTATTTCAGTCTCATATGGCTCCATAGCAGATGTCTGTGCTTCATACAAAGGCAAATAAGCACTGTACATTATGTATACAATGATAATACATAAACCGTTTAAAAAACATTAAATATCCAATTAAAAGCTAACGGCTTAGGTTCTACTGCAAGTATCCGATTTCATCCTTCGTTGCACAGCAAATCTGCTTTGTTCCTTAACTTCTTTGGTGGCGGGCAATACTAGGAATATAAACTGTGCTGCTTCCTCATTTAGGTGCCTAACGTCGCTATCTACTACTGTCGGATTTCATGCAAACCAAATAAACGAAATCAAACTCAAAGGTTGTGTAGAGATGCGAATGAACAGTGAGTTGTTGTGTGTGTGTTGGGGGGGGGGGGGGTGTTGGGGTGAAAGAAATAATTGAAATATTCCAGCTAAATTATTTCTTTAGCTTATTTCTCTAACTCTTAATACCCTAAAAAGTTGAGCTTATATTTAGTAAATACTTGGGCCTGAAAGAGTTCAATGAAGGAAATGTGGGGCAGATGTGGTTAAACTATCAATTCCCATGCACAGAGTTACTATATGAACGCGTGTCGTAGAAGACAGCAGGGATATCATATTATCTTTGGAATGATCAAGGAACGTATGGTGAAATGGTTGGTATTTATTAAATTAATACTTATTATTGGTACTTCCAAAAAAGACAACAAAACAGTTGAAACATGGTGCACTGAACTGTATCAAACGAAGAATGACCAATATGAACTTCGTGGAATCAGCCCACACATATTCGGCTGTAGAATATATGGCCGCCGTAGGATGTCCCACTATTCCTGGGGGGGGGGGGGGGGGGGTGTTGCACTGAAAATCTTAAAAGTGTGACAGAAATTACATTAACATGTCACTGTGTCATTGACTAACGCGGCAACGAAGTAATGACAGTTTAAATAT